TTTTTTTTTTTTTTTTTTTTACTTTAAATGGAAAATTTCATTAGTTCTAATAAAAAATGACAACTAAGATTATCTAAAAAATTATGACAAATGATAAAAGTCTTAGTTTATTAAATATATTTGAATAATTTAACTTTTAAAAATAAATAAAAATTTAAAAATATATTATTATTATTATTATTATCTCGCTTTAATGAATGAGGTAGTAAACGGGGTAAGAACCACCCCCCCACCCCACCCCACCCCACTCGCCTTAAATGGGTAAGAGGACGGGAACGGGGACGACGTGGGGGAGGTTGCTCCAATGCCAACTTGCCCCGTTGTTATTTCTAAACTATTTCTTGATTAACCTACTTTATTGAGGACATGAAACAACAAAGTGACAAACCACGTATCTTGTGTGTGTGTATTTTTAAAGGCGATTTCTGATCCAAATAAAAAATAGCGTAATATTTTCTTTATTCCATAAATATATGTTGTTTTTATTTTTATATTGATTTTAAGATGTAATTAATATAGCCCTTGTTTAGACTCCATTTTAATGAGGTTTTAGGAAAAAATATATTTTTGAATAATAATCTATTGGAGAATGTGTGGGTAAAAAAAACGAAATGATGAAAGTTGTCGGCACCGTGTATCAAAAGATCGAACAAAGATAGAATCTAAAAAGAACTTGTGGAGCAAATAACTTTGATTCTTACCGTCAGAATTTAGTTAATTGAAATCCGCTGGACGATTGAAAAATAAACAATTGGAAGTTGTTGGCAAATGAAGAGAGAATTTACAGAGAATTCGTTGGAGCAAATAACTTTGATTTCACCGTTGAAATATGGTTAATTAAGACCCGTTGGACGATTGAGATCACAAATTGGAAGTTGTTGACACTGTGTATCAATTTTTTTTATGAAAATAGCAACAATTCAGGTCGGAGAAATTAATGGCCTATAACAAGTTATCTTGAATTTGTGACTTGTGACCTATGTACTATATGACATGTGATCAGTTCTCTTGGAGTTGTGACCTGTAGAATTAATCTATTATCTATGCAATATGATATGTTATCTATGCAATATGACCTGCAATAAATAAATTGTGACTTGTGAACTTGAATTTGTGACTTGTTATTAGTACATAAAGACATGTGACATATGATCTGTGACTAGTTAATTTTGGTCAGTGACCCGTTGATATTAATCTGTGGCCTATGGTGTGTGACCAATGACCCGTGGAGTGTGACATGTAAACATGATCTGAGACCTATTCTATTTGATTTGTGACTTGTGGACATTTATCTGTGACTAATGCACAATGACTTGTGATCGGTACATGTGACCCATCACCACCACTGACACCACAAGCATATATTGACACATGATTTGACATACACTCTATGAACCCATAGTTGCTCCGTGCGACGCTTAATTCGCCGTCGTGTGTTGAGATCTGAGAGTTACCGCTCGTGCAGCGAACTTAGAGTGCCACTACGAACCAAGATTGTCGCTGAGAGAGCCGCATGCAATGGCGAACTGAGTGTCATTGCCGTCGGTGCTCACAGCGACGACGCCACCGATGAAAAAAAAGGCCTTTAAAGAAGAAAAGAAAAATGGTTTGTGAAGAAGATAACAGAGAGAGGATGGGGAAAGAATGAAGAAGAAAATGTAAATGAGTTTGGATTGGATGGGCTAAGATGGGATGTGATGGATTAATTTAATTTTATAATATTATTACTTATAATTATAAAAATAAATTATCACATGACTTTTTTCCAAAGAAACTTTTAAATCTTAATTTTGAAATTGAAACTTAGAAAACAGGACCTGTTGTAATTTTCACATATTTTATTGTAAGAATGTGATTGAAAATAAGTTTTTGTTTTATGGTTGTCAAACAATGGTATAAATTTTGCTTATATATTTTTTTTATTTTTCTAATGTACATTTACATAAACTCATTTTGAACCACACATTCTCCCAATAAAATAATTTGCTCACAAAATCAAAACTTTTTTTTTACTTTTTAACTACATATTCTCCAAATATATATATATAT